AAGTCGGTCCGCCGCAAGCTCCGCCAGCTGACGAGGGCGGGAGCGGGCACCGACAAGGCGCTCGCATCGCTCGAGGTCGTTGTCGATGAGCTCGACTCGCTAGCGGGTCTGGCTCCTCCCACGCCCAAACCGACCACTCCGACACGCCCTGCGACAAACACAAGGGTCAGCAAGGCGCCCATCTCCGACAAATTGTCCCCGAAGTCGACGTGCTCCGACGCGAAGGCCCCGCCCTCGGACCCTCCCCTGACCGCCAGGACGCTCGAAACCGTCCTTCAGACCGCCCTACTGCCCGTCTACGCCTGTCTCGACACCCTCGAGGCGTCACGAGCCGCCGCGGTGTTGCTGCCAACCCCGCCCTCATCTCCCCCACAACCAGCCGCAGACAACGACGAGGTCGCCAACGCCTCGTTTGCCGAAGTATTGATCCGTCCAGCCTAAGGCCACGCCCCGCACCGAACCCGGCGCGCCCAGCGCCCGTCACTGACGAGCCGACACTTCCCTCCAGCCATCTCGTCCACCTGTATGCTAAGCCCGACCTCACCGTCCTGAAGGTCCGCCAAGCCCTCCGGATTCCCGTCACTATCCCGATACGACAGATGAGAAAAGGCGACGTACTCATTCACCTCCCGAACGCAATCGCCGCATCCTGCCTCCGACTTGCCTGCCTCGACGCCGGCTTCGCGCCCGCCACACCTATCGCGCTGTTTGCAGCGGTAGTACATGGTCTGCCAATGACGGAGGAGGCCAAAGACCGGCTCATCGAGACGGTGGAGGAACGGGTGAAAGAAGTCGGGGTCGTGCGCTCGGTTCGTCGGCTCCCGTCGAGGAGAGGAGGAGCGTTGTGCGGGTCTGCCGTTGTCGTCCTATGGAACAACGAGGCTGTCAGCAGTCTCCTCAATGACGAAGGACGGCTCTGCATCGACACGGTGACGTCCGTGAGGTGTGAGAGGGCGAGAGGGAAGAAAGAGATGACCCACGAGAAGGGAGCAGGACAGCCGGCGGGACGGACGGTGGACGGCGCGCAGGGGGCACAGAGCGAGACGAAGAGCACGCTGAAGGGAGCAGCGGGTGCTCAGGAGCTGAAGAAGCGAGGAGAAGGCGAAGAGGAGGAGGCCAAGGACGAGCCGGCTCGCGCGAAACTCGCTAAGTCCGGCGGCGGCATGCTCGCAACTTCGCCCTCGCCCGACGGGAATGGACGCAAATCGCCCGTTACAACCACTACAACAGTCTCTACACCTGCGAACCCCTTCGAGCCAGTCCTGCCGCCCGAGCTCGCCAGCTTCTCCATCGAGTGATCCGCCAACGACGACTTCGGCGCCCAAGTCGACGAGATCGAGGCTTCTGCGGGGGCAAAGGGTCAGCAAGTAAGTCCCCCACCTAGCAAGTATGCAGCCCCACCGCTACACCCCCCTGCGAAGTCAGACGGAATTGAAGCCCGCGTTAGCAAGGAGTCTTCTCCCTCTGCAGAAGCCGAGGACGCACCCTTCTTACCCTCGCTTCAAGCGCCATCCGACCACCTCTACCGCACCAACGCAACCCCATCAACCGGAGCCTCCGCCCCCTCAACCTCCGACATGCATCTCGTCGCCAACTCCCCCCTCTCCCCAATGCTCGCGGCCTGCCGCCAAGACGCCCCGGCCCCCTCCTTCCTCGAATCGGCCCACCAGCGGTTTCTGGTCGCACATCCCGTTGCCCCGCCCCGACCCTCCGACGCCGACCCAATACGCGAAGATGCCGATCATCGAATTCGAGCCGACGGCGAGTGAGGCGGACAAGTCGTGGGCCGATGAGACCAAAGAAGCATTCCCATCGGCAAAGACGGAAACGAAGGATGCAAGGAGAGAGTCGGAAAGCGAGGGAGGAAAGGAGGAAAAGTGGAAGAAAGTTGAGAGGACGAAGAAGCGGGAGATGAGGGAGACGGCGGGCGAGGCGAGAAACCGGCGCGGTGAGAAGACGGAGGCAAAGCGAGTAAGTTCGCGAGCGAGGCGAATCGGCGCTCCGGCATCGAAGGAGGAACTGCGGGCAAAGGACAGTCAGCCGCGCCCCGAGTCCCCCGACCCCCTCGACTTCCTTTCACCCCCCCCAATAAATGAAACCACTCACAATCACCTCCTACAACATTGACCGCTCCGAAGAGAACCTCCTCCGCCTCCGAAAAAAACCCAACATCTGCACCACCGACCTCCTCCTCATCCAAGAACCTCCGCGCCCGCTAAAGCCCTTTGACGACCCCAACTGGCGCCTCGTCACACCACCACCAACCTCGCTGCCCGACGGCGAACCCGCCCCAACCCGCAACCTCATCCTCATCACGACCCGCCTCGGCCCGGCCGTCGCGACACAAGTCGCAGTCGACTCAGGCGGTTGAGCTGCTCCACGGCGAGAAGATACGCGTCGTCAGCATGTACAACCCCTGCAACGAGCGAGGAAAGGAGGTCAGGTACTTACCATACAACCACTCCGTCTCGTCCGTCCTCCCACCGTTGCTCGCCGCGACTCCCGCCTCTTCACTCGTCATTGTGGCCGGCAACTTTAACCTGTCGCACCCAGAGTGGAACGAGTCAGTTGGCGAACCGGACGATGCGGCGGAAGAAGCAGTGCGCACCTTCTCCCAGCTCAACCTCGTCCACCTCCTCCCGCCCCACACACCCACCTACTACCCACACACTCGCTCGCACCCGCCGCGCCCCCTCGACCTTGTCCTCGGCTCGCTGCGCGCAGAAGAAAGAGTCGTCAGCTGCGGTCTGGCCGAGGATCTCGAGTCGGGCTCCGACCACCGGCCTGTTCGACTCGTTTTTGCCCTCGAAACCCCCACCTACATCCCGCCCGCGCGCCGCGCATTCCGCCGCACCGACCCTGATGTCCTCCAGCGAGCCTTTCGAGAGGCGACCTCCCACCTCCCCAACTCGCCGATCCTCACCGCCCCTGACATCGACGAGCGCGCACGACAACTCACCGAAGCCCTCCAGATCGCAGTATCCGCCGCGTTGCCCTTCGCTCGCGCCCGAGCCGGAAGAATCGTGTCGTGGTGGGATGAAGAGCTTGGCGAAGCGAGCAAATCAGCTCGACGGGCTGCGAACCGGGTGTTCCGGCTTCGGGGTATTGTCGGACGTGAGGAGGAGGCAGAAGCGGCGTGGAGAGAGAAGAGGAGGGCGAGGAATGCGTTGAAGGCAATGATGCGGAGAAAGAGGGAGGAGTGGGAGGAGGCCGAGATGGCAAGCGTGACGGAAGCGACCCTGTGGACGACAGTGAAGAAGCGCGTCAGCGAGTCTTCCGCCGCTAATCTGACGACCCCGCCACTCCGAAAAGAAGACGGCACGTACGCGACCTCTGCCCTCGACAAACTCGCCCTTCTTCACCCGCTCTTTCTCCCAACCGTCCCGGCGAACTCCCCCAATGCCTCCGCGCCTGACCAACCACCCGCCGCAAACCCGCAAACTCAACCTCCACACGCCCGCATTCCCGACATCCCAACTTTGCGCCGGACGGCACCGCAACCTGCGAAAGCAGTCGACAAGAGGAGAGTCAGTGGTGCACAAGTAAGCCCTGAGTTTATTGTCCACCCCGCTACTCGAGAAGCAGACGACCGCCACGCGAGTGAGCCGAGACGTACCTGCGCAGAAACGACGGCGACGACGAAGACGTCGGCGATGAACGAGGCGGCGACCAAGGCGGCAACGACGAGGAGAGCGACAACGAGATGGACGACAGCAAGGACGACAGCAAGGACGACAATGAGGTGGACAACGACGAAGACGGTCGAGGCGGAGAGAGGAGGAAGGGGAGGGCCGGAGGTCGAGGTTCCTGAAGGTGAGGAACGTCAGCAAGTACGTTCTCACCAGTCGTATCGCAACCCCTGCAAGGCTACGCACTTGAGTCCATACGGAATTGAATCCCACTCTCGCGAGGCAACACTCAACTCCGCAGACGACGACGTGGACGCACCGTGCAACACGACGACGCCGCCCTTGCCCTGGCCGGAACTGCACGAGTGCGAAGTGGTGTCAGCAGTCATGCAAGCCCGACCCTTTGCGGCCTGCGGACCAGACGACATCCCCACCCACGTCCTCCAACTCCTCCTCGAGCATCTCCTCCCGCACCTCGTCCCGCTCTACCGCGCATCCCTCGCACTCGGCCACGTCCCTCGAACCTGGCGAGACGCCTCGTGTGTCGTTCTCCGCAAACCCAAGAAACCGGACTATCGCGACCCGAAGGCGTACCGGATGATCGCATTTGAACGCTGCGTTGCGAAAGGCTTGGAGCGAGTCGTGGCCGCAAGGCTGTCGCACCTTGCCAAATCGTACGCCTTGCTGCCGCGGTCGCACTTCGGGCGGTCGTCGTCGTCGATCGGCAGAAGATGCGGTGGTCTGCGTCGTCGATGAGATCAAGGGTCAATGGCGGAACGGCAACGCGGTTGTGGGCCTCGCACTCAACGTCTCCAAAGCATTCCCGAGCGTGCAAACGGAAAGACTCACCGCGAACCTCGAAGCCCGTGGCCTCCCCAAGCCCGCCTGCGACTGGGTACGCTCCTTCTTGACAAACTGATCCTGCACCCTACAGCTCGAAGGCATCGTCAGCGAATCGCTCGAGTGGAACAGCGGCCTGCCGCAAGGCTCACCTCTCTCGCCGATCCTCTTCCTCGCCTACAACGCTCCCCTCCTCGACGCCTGCGAGACGACCTCGACGTGTGGCTTCGGCTGGATCGACAACATGAACATTCTGTCCTGGGGCAAGACGGTCGACGAAGCGGTCAGCGGGGAGGGGTGGCGGGTAGCGGCGAGCGAGCGGGCCCGGATGGTGCGGGCGTGGAGGGGGTGTGATTGCGTTGCGGAGAGCGCGCGTAGGCCGAGACGGAAAACGGCGCGGTCGAGCTCGAGGTGGATGGGCAGAAGGTTGGACTCCGCTTCGAGCGCCTCGCCTGCCGCTGAGCGGAACCCTCCGCACACCGCCATCGCCGCCGTCTTTAGCACCCGTGCTAACTCTTTCGTGCGATCCCTTCCCTTTGCAGGGTCATACCACGCCGCTCCCGCCCACACCAGTCGCGGAACGACGCATGCGACCACGAGTTGGCGGACGAACTTCGGTTTCAGGCCGGTCTTCGATCGCGCGAGTAGCGATATGGCTGTGGCGGATCTGGAGGCGCGGGAGGCGCAGAGGGAGGCGTGGTCGTGGAAGGATAGGCGTGAGTCGATCTTCGTCCCAAGCATCGTCATCGTGGTGTTGAACTCAACATGGTGGCCATGGAGGACGACTTGAGGTGGGTTGGTGGGCATCGAGCGCGCGGACGGGAGGAAGATGGTCGCTTCCGTCTTGGTGGGCTCAAAGGCGGAGGAGTGGAGGTCTGACCAGGACTCGAGTTTCGGCACGATACGGTTCATTGCGGCCGAAGGAGGGGAGTTTGGCCGCTTA